CACTGACCAAACCCTCAGAGAGCCCGACTGCCAGGCGGCCCGTGTCCAGCAGAGCTCGCAGACCCGATGCCAGGGTCAAAGGAAACCAAGCCCTGTCTCCTTCTCTGTCCAATAAGTAAAACCAGCAGCAACCGGGCTACCTCATCGCATTTGATGAACACCTACTATGTGCTGGGTACTGAGCTAAGTGCTTCTCACTCCTCGTCTTGTTCTAGCCTTGCGGCCCCTCTGCGGTGGGCACCGTGAGTCTCCCCATTTTAAAGATGGGAAAGCGGAGGCTTGGAGATGAGTTGACCACCCCCGCCCAAGGCCATGTGTCTACTAGGTGCTGTCACCCGTGCCTCTGAGGTCTGACACCAAGGCCAAGGCTCTGGCCTCCTCCTCCAGTCTGAGTGTCCAACTCAGGAGGCCTGACTTGAGGAATGAACGTGCTCTGGAACAGATACTACACTGTGGCAGAATATCCCGCAATGCCAGTCACGTCCCGGCGACTTTCCTCAGCAGGCCCACCCTGGTTTACGCAGCGAGCTCCCAACACGGACCCTCGCAGTAGATCCCTCAACACAGTGCGGTGGGGAATCCATTGCGGGCAGAGGGACAACTGTCCCAGCAGACGATTTCAGTTTATGTGACAACATGAAGCTTCTACCAGAAGTATAACCTGCCTGGGAGCAAAGTGGAGACATTCCACCACGCACGATTTCAAAGTTCCTGTGCACTTTCTCCAAAAGCATCTACTGCTATGTTTCCACACCTGTCCTGCTTCTGGAAAGCTTTCAAGTTCCCCTGGATGCCTGGCTAACTCCCTTTCCCGTGAGCACTGCCCACAACAAAGGTCAGCGGGACCAGGATAAAGAAAACCATTAACAGGAGAAAAATTCAGAGTTGAGAAACTTGCATCTTGCGAATTAATTTCTTTCTGCAAAAAGGAGCTTTGAGATCCCCGGCCGGCTACCCTGGTCCCCGTGAAATCAGCACGCTCCGGCCACGGTGCATGGGTGACCGATTTTCAGCTGTCCACTCTCTGACTATGTGTCCTTGCTAAGCTATTTCACACCCTCTGAGCTCCGGTCTCCCCATCTGTGAAATGAGACCACTAATGGCCCCTGATTGTGCCACTGGGGCTGTTGTGAGGAGGCTGACGGGGGTGAGCACGGTGAAGTCTGACCTCAATCAGGTCCGGAACTGGATGGAGCAGGGTTGCGTCTGCAACATCTCCCTCCTCCCCTCTCTCCTTCTCAATCGCCCCTCCTCCTCTTCTCTTTCTCCTGTCCCTTCCCCCTCCCCTCCCCGACCCCGTTGGTTTTCACCATCCTGTCTTCAGCATCTAATCCCTGCACGGGTTTGGTGTGTGGGATGCCGCCCCCCACCCCCCCCACCCCTTGGAGGCAGGCTGGCGTCTTGATTGCAATCCCTGGTCTTTGCTCACTGGCTGGGCGACTTCTCCAAGTGTCCTCATCTGTAAAATGGGTGTCGGTCCCCACCCTCTGGGGTGGGCAGTGGAGAGTAAATGAGAAACGTCCTTAAAGAGCATAGCAAGGGGACTGCACACAGTAGGTACTCAACAAATGGGGGCCTTTTTATCATGAGGCTTCTTTCAGTGGTTCAGAAACAGTACCCACCCCCCCACCCCGGGTGGGCTGATCCAGGCCACTCCGGTCTTACCCGGAATTCTGCTGGACAACAAACCTCACCAGGGCGAGGCCTGGGGCTGAGCCTCATCGCCAACCCCCGCCTGACCCCTGCAGAAAACGCAGTCCTCCTGTCCCCCCACCTCTGGCTGGGACAGCGCCCAGGCACAGGGCAGTAATCTCAGCCTTATGCCAGGACAACAGCCCGTCCTGAGGGCCTCTCAGGGATCCCGGGCAGAATGAGCAAGGGCCCGCGTTGGGTGTAGCCCCCCTCCCGCCACCACCAGGTCCGGCCGCACCTCTGGCTCCCGCTGGAAGATGACGACCCGGCCACCCTT